TAGCTAAGAGGCTAAGAGTAAACCAATACCGCCGTCTTGGTATCAACGTCGCATGGTGGCAAATCTCCCTCTGATCCACAGGGGCTACGACTACCTGTAGTGGTGAAGACCTGAGGCAGACTTTGGCCAGGTTGTCCTCGGGATTCCAGAGAACCACAATGGCTTAACCAACAAACCTCCAAAAAATGCTGATTATGCTGGGGCGAGCACAGCTAGTGAGGACGGGCGTTCAAATAGAAGTCAAGTAACAAACAACAGTTAGACCTGCACGACTGTTCTCTTTGCTTAGATGCAAGCCCTCCATCTCTGTACAGATCACCTCGAACCACACCGCTACGTGAGTCATTAACTGCAATAATCATAGTGTTGCTGAGATATTTGCGAAACTCTGAATCGTTAGTGTGTGCGTTGGGGAGCGAACACGCTATTACCCTTTCCGGGTGCCAACGCGTATACCGCCGCACTATGCGAGTCCTTCATTTCGACTGTCACTCAGATGTGTTATTGACCTATAGACGCTATCAGCACTCAGCCGCAATAATGCTTACATGATTTTGATTCCACGAAAGAAGAAAACGGCAACACTTTCAGTGTTTCCAGGTTACTTGTTGAAATGATCCAGCTTTTTTACTTTCTCATTTGGTGAAATGCGGGATTGAAACCATCCCAACCCTAAATGCACCATAAATGAACGAACAACTTGTACGACTCTTACGAACTGTTCATGATACGTTGTAAACACGTTTATTTCACAATGGCTGACGTTTTGTCGGATCTTTCTATCTTCAGAGTCTGGAATGAGTCGTGGTATTGTGTAACGTACTAGGCCTTCAGAATCTCTACGAAAAAATGCGAAAGTTTACTTTCATTCATACAGTAGACAGACACATTTATCTTCGTGTCGTTCACTTTTTAGGTAATGAGACTACCTTCACAGAAGTGACATAGAATGACAGAAAACGGATAGCGGATTTTTCGGATTGTTGTATTAACAACTTTATCTCGAGACCGTTTCTGAGAAGACAGTACCTCATGAGTTAATAGCTAGATTAATGAAAAGTCTGCCTTTGAAATAGGATATTATATGATGGTAGCAACTGCTTGTTGTTCTATCTGGCTGTTGCAGGCCGGTCGCACTCCACTACATTACGCTGCAGCTGATCCAAATGGTGAGCACATGATCAAGGTACTGCAAAAAGCCGGAGGAGACGCGTTCATCGACGACAAGGTTAGTCCTGCTGGCAGTTGTCATGAAGGTGATCAACATCATGTCATTGCCGTTACAACAACAAAGAGCAAATGATCGCGACAATCGACACTTGCCCTTTACAATAATGGTTTCAGATTTCCAAAATTCATATTTCCCCCAGGTTATTGCGTCATGTGGTAATGTGCTTGAAAATGTGACAGCTTTCTGGGAAAGACACACTTAAAATTTCCTCTAAAAATCTTTTCGAGGAAAAATAAATGGTCCCTCTTGAGTTTCTCCCAGCTCCGATCTTCATTCTTAGTCAGCGTTATGAACTTTCCGCTTCAATAAGTTTAGTTCGTCTACCATAACTTTCTCCATGGAGTTCGGACATTAAAACAACATTGTATCTTGAAGCATTGGTATGGACTTGTTTTAACTCCCCAATACTTTTGGCTCCTCGTAAACAAACGAAATCAAAACATCGCGTGGTCACGAATTTCACATTGCAGCACGGTCATACTCCTTTCTATTACCGTACCCACGGAGAACGACTGAGTATAAGGAACATTAAGGACAACGCCGCTATGAATCAACTGATCTCCGGCCAATTAAGTCGCACCCTCCTCCAAGGTCAGTGGCTTTCTTCGTATAAGTTCGGTTTTGAAATCAGGTTAAGTCGTAGACTGAATGTCATCTTCTGGTTATGCGATATGGGATGAAGGTTCAACAAAAGTGAGAGAACTGGAGACTGCAGCGTAGTTTCGCTTCTTTTGGAGAATTACAAATTAAATGTGTTATCTAATTCATACCTTCACACTTTATTCCTTTAAATCGGATCAAATAACGATGACATCAGCTACAAACGGAATTTCAAAAAATGCAACAATGTTTCTTCCGACTAACCTCTTTTTTATGTCACCCGTCATCATATCTACTGTGCGGATCCCTGCAGTTCTCGCATTCGACTCATTTTCCTCGCATTCATCGTCCACAACGGTCTTTGAACACTTCGTGTCTTGTTTCGGCTGCTGCTTTTAGGACTTCGTCTTCCTTTATGAATCTCTTAGAAGGGTGATCGGCTCGATGCTCCTTGCAGTCTTTGAATTAGCGGAGCTAAGGTGTCATGCTGAGCTGAAACAAGAACTTTAAATGACATGTTGACCTATGAATGACTGATAATTCAACGGGTTTCCTTCTTTTAGAGGTGAATTTCGACTACATTGGAAATAATTCTACAAACGTCCAAAATTTTATCGTTGACTTGTTAAGAAGTGAGGTCATTAGGCCAAGGCTCACATGATACGAGGAATGTGCCCATCTTGGAACAAATAATCCACCAGAGCGACATCACCGTATGATTGTTAGAAATTCGCCTTCTTGTATCACTTCGGCAGTTGGACAGTAGTGTGGTTCTCACGCTGATCAGCAAATAGAAATCATGGTTAGTTACGTGGTGACGTCCGAACCAGTAGTGGTACACCTGAAACAAATGTGTTCTGCCCGAGCTCTTTAAATTTTTTCCGTAATTGTCCTTCATTAAACACTTTATTGTTTACTATTTAGATTTTGAAGAAGACATTTATGACTGGACTCACAATGGAAATGTTGGGAAACTAGAAGAGTTGGTACTAACTGGATATGGTGACCTGTTGCTTGGCCGCAATCATGAGGTGCCTTACTTACTTTGATACTTTGATGGTCCGTCCTAACCAGTTGTGCGGGCCTCATTATAATCTCCACTTTTTTGGAGTTTTGCTGGCTTACCCATTGTGGTTCCTTGGATCCCCGAGGTCAGCCAAGCCGAAGTCTGCACCAGGTCGTCACCACCACGGGCAGTCGCCGCCTTTGTGGGTCAGAGGGAAATTTGCCACCATGCGAATAGTTTGGTATCACAACGGTGACGGATCCTGGTACTGGTTTATTCTTAGCTGGGCTTCCTGATGGAAACGCTGGACTCCTCAGCTTGGGAGACTCTGCCAGGGTCATGAAGCCACCCGCTGTACATTGCAGCTGGACCCCCAGGAACACCTCCCAGCCACGACGAGATGGTAAACCATTGGGAAGGAGGTGCTTTAGCAATTAAATTATCTAATTTACTCTAATTTCGAACCCAATCATCGTTCTTCTCAAGCTGATTTGTTGTATAATTTTATTCTTACTTGATGTGTTGTCCTTTCACCTACGTTATATTCTGATATTTTTTTTATTTTTGTTTTTTTGATATTTTGATATTATTATATTTAGGTAGAGGACCCTGACAGTATCGGTTTCCTGGAAGTGTTACCACAATATCAGGTGATAAAGGAGCGATCTATTCATTACGAATACTATAAACGATAAAAAAGTGACTTGGCTTAAGTATAAGCGAAGGGACCAATAAACCCTCTAATTATTTCAAATAGCATCAGTTTAAGTCATGTAAAATAATCAATGATGGAGTTCACTTCAAAGAGATGGTAGGCGAAGCCGGCCCGTGCCATGAGATCCGGCCAACGGACGCATGTGTATTATAGGACACCTCTAACCCCAGCGCTACAGACGCCCTATTCCATTCAAATTGCATAATATTTAGTTTTTAGATCTAACGTGTTTGAACAACAGTAACATTTCTATCTACTAGTCTTTCTATTCATATAATCCTTACTATCAAAAATTCTTTATGACTTCGGGTTTTAGTCTTTTAGTCTAACTTGTAAAGGGTACAATTTAAACCTATTTCTATGCAACTGGTGTTCTTTATTTTGCTAGATTTTAGCTTTTTAAGTTATTAAGCGGTAGACTTACTGAGTGTGGTAGTTCTTCATAAACAAATTTTTCATTCGATGAGCCAAGGTTGAAGCAATTTGCAGGCAAAAATTCAAGCTATTCACAACGCAGTCGAGTCTGGTAATCTTCGAGCTGTGAAAATGCTAACAGATCGAAAAAAGCTAGCACTTTGTCGTGACACCAGAGGAATGAGCCCATTGCATAAGGTGGCGTTTACCTAGGCTGTGGGCATGGTCTCATCTTTCCAAGCAACTACCTTTATTGTCAAAGAATTTAGGCGATAGTATTCGACCGTGCTGACATCGCCAAATATCTCATACGTAGCTATCCTCACAGTGTGAATGCGATGGATCAGGTACTGTTTACGATCCACAGCAAAAAGTATCTGCATCCTTGTGAACTACCATATGTGGAGAACTTCAATCACACAAAGAATGAATGATTTCTGAAAATTGGGATAGGCAATATTTTTGAAATCCGACAGCGGAGAGTTGGAGGGCAAAGAGGATTACTGTAAAATCGCAGACCAAGCGAAACTAAACGGAGAAAACTCTACATATTACTAGTTCCTCAGGTTTTTTCAGCACGTATTAAACATTCACCTCCCACATGAGCGATGTTTAAATTCTCTAAAAGTTACTTTCTGAACATATTGGTCATCATTCTTTTTTGACCATACTGGCTGAAACAAATGAATTAGACCCCAATCTATAGCTCGACTTAGTGGTTACACCGACCTTTCTGAGCACTTGGGTGGCTCGTCTTCATGAATCACGAAAACCCCAACTTCTATACGTTTCCTTCTCTCGCATTTTTCATAATGATAATGGTCCGCTTCGAATACGGTGATAAGTATGCGAGTTTTATTCCTTGTTCATTAACTTATTTCCATCTTCATGCACAGATAATTCATGTGGATCAGAAACACCAGCTGTCCTATGGCGTTCACTCTACAAGGCACTTGCTTCATATTTCTGTACATTCCAATTTTCTTTTCGTCTATGTTTTGTGGCTTCCAATAGTTTCAAAAGATATCGGTCAAGCACTCTGTGGATGATGCATACAATACTCAAGGAGCCAATCCACGTCTCGCTTGTTTAGAAGAGCGCCGGAACTGTAAATCGAATCAAAACTAGGTGCAGAATTTCTTATAACTCAGTCGACGATGGCTTCTTTGAGGTGCAGTTGGTTCAATTACCATTCACTATGACATGGAATTGATGATGGAAAAGTTCCACCTCAACAAATTCCCCTGCTGAACAATATCTACCCTACTTCGTTCCTTAAATTACCGAACACCTAGGCAAACATATGGCGTGATCTCATTTCATTTATATTCCACTTAATATTCCATACCCAATTCACTTTCCATATTCTTGGCAATATTCATATCCCAAAATCTCCTCGAAAGCATGGCGATACCCATCGGCAATGATGGAAAAGCGGAACTTCGGAAAGAATTTACCAACAGTGCATATTTCATCTCCATCGAGGCACTTCATTAATCTACATCACGCTCATTTCAATTCAGTATATTCGAAAACTTTTAACCGTAATATTCTCATTCATTTAATAGTTAACTGGAAGCAGGTCAAAATATGAGGGGTGGAACCAGAAAAGCCATCCTCTACACGAAATGGTTTACAAAAAAAGTTCGTTGGTCGGTAGTTTAATTAATAATTAACTATAACGATCCTGAGACAATTGCAAAACTTAGACCCCGGGCCAGATCGAACCACGATTTCCTTTTCCGGTGGCTCCTTGCTCTGATTTCAACTGCAGTCTCCGCTTAACTGGGTTCAATGCCGATATGGGCTCTCCAGATCAATCCTGTTGACGGGTGATTGCAGATGGCACGGGTAGATAGAAAATCAGTTGAGGGAAATGCAAAGCAAGGGTTCCGTAGCGCAGTGTGCAATGCCCCCGGAACGGGAGATGGTGGTTCAATCTGGGCCGGGGCTCAACTTTTGCGAATATCTCAGCATCGTTGTGATTGATTTCGAATAACACTCTTCCGCAAAAATTGTAACTGGCACTAAATAAAAGAGAAAACAATGATTAACTGTCTCATTATCTTAATAATAGAGGATATTGTATGGAATGTGTGGATGTGAAAACACCGAAATAGACTCATCATAAATTGCAAAATACTTCCAAATGCTGACAGCAATGCATTTGCAAAACGGGCCATACTAACAGGTAGTAAATAGTAGCATACATATTATCCATACTTATAGAACGATAGAACAAAGGCCTTAATTCTGTGATTTTGACAGCGCTGAAAACCCTCCAGTTATTGAGAGAAAAGAAATTATGGAAAGAAGTAGTTTCGTGCCATTGTGGTCACGTCTCGACGGTTTCGATTGCATTTGCCTTTCATGTTGAATCATAATGTTTCTCTGTACAGTACATTTGTTCCAAGTTATTTCTTCATGTCATAAAGACTCAAGAAAATGAAAATGAGAAAAGTTCAGAAAAAGCGGACGCCCCTACATTATGCGGCGGCTTATCGAGATGGTGGTTACTTGTACAAAATCATGCGAAAGAACGGCGCTGATCCGAATGTTTACGACTGTGTGGGTAGTGTTTTGATTTCAGTAAAAAGCACCAGAATAATTCCCGAGGTTGCACGAGAGAAAGGCAAAGAAAGGGCCTCAAGTTAGTGTAGTGGATAGCACGTGAGCCTCAGGAGTGTAGTCGCAGGTCCGAAGCTCAACTTAGGTTCCGAGTTTTGCTCATATCTCAGCATCTTTGTGGTTGCAACTCACGACAGTTTGGTTTCTAGAACGGCCGTCCTGCAAGGTACTACCTTAAACATCCTGGCGAAATTGATTTGTCAGCCATGCGATTGGATACGAGAGCAGCTTTGAAGCAGGTAACTTGAGCTTTAGCGTTGTGAAAGAACCCTGCAAGTTCACTTACTAATCTAATCGACGCTCTTCACTAATAAAATAGCACGTTGTTACGTAGATGGATGCTTGGGCAGCATGGCTATGTTGCAAATCCAAACCAGTAACCGAACCTGCGCTCAAAATCCGAGGACAATAGTGGGACATAGGCGCGATGAAATGAATCAGGTGCAAAAAGTGCCGGGACTCGCATAACACAAGATGTCGGATCGTGAAATATCAGTCACAAGTGACAGAATAACACAGTGGCAAAATAATACATGATAAGAAAAACATAACTGACCCCAAATAAATGTCCGTTCAGGTGCCTGCTCTATTAGATATCCGGTAAGAATGAAGGATTTACACACTTACACAAAAAGTTTGATTTCAACTAACGCGTAACACAATTTTAACCCTTTAATTTACTGCCTTTTTCTTTTTAATAGCAGGGTATGTTGCGAAATATAACTCGTATACAATGCTGAAAAAAAGGCAGTAAATAAAAGGGTTAAGATTGTGATTATAACTAAGCCTCAGTTTAACTGGGTTCAATGCCGATTTGGGCTTCCCAGATCAATCCCGTTGACGGCTGATTGCTGATGCCAAAAGATTAATAAAATTACCTGAGAGACAGGCCAAACGAAGGACCCGGATGGTGTGGTGGTGAAGTGCGCTCCCCCCCCCCCCCGGCAAGGACAATAGCGCGCGTTAGTTCCCCACCGCACACACCTGCGGTCCGGAGTTTTGCAAATATCTCAGCATTATATACGAGTTATATAACGCGTAACATTTATTAGCGTGGTTTCAAGCTCCGAATATATTTAATCCTTTGGATACCTGAAAAGCAGCCTGCTTTCACAAATAGTGTACTCCGCATCTTAATTTCTAGTAAAATCCCTTATTCTTTTCCTTCTGGAATCCTCAACGAGAGGGTTAGGGGTTCTCCAGTCGTTACCATAGTCTGTCTCCACCTCGCTTGTCAGTTTAAAGAACTTCTTGCTTTGTGACCCTACTCCTGAGGATAGTTTACCCTTCAACGAGCTTTCTTATGGAAACGTCAAGTTTCTGCAACATTTTGGTAATTATCTTTAGAAGATGAATTTTCCGCCGCAAATTAGAGCCCTACAATCGTAGAAACACCCGTTCACCAATGTGCAGTGCTAGACCTTAGATGGATAACACTCGTTAAAATTAACGATAGGCTTTTCCATAACTACATGCAAATCTTTCACAATTGAGGTGCTCCACAATCGTGTCGCCCCCAGTTATCTGGAATCGTCCATCCAGCAATGGATGAGAGACGGCCAGCTCGCTAAGCTTGAGCAGCTCGTTCTTTCAGGTATGTTTCTCAAATTGAATGTGAAGCTCTGGAGAATATTCTTGAGAACCTGACGGACGTATTGCGACTTCTCACTTTTGTATTAAACGAATCAACTTGCTGAAGTTCATTTTCAAAAAGCAGAAATCAATGCGATGAGCTAACTAACATTTCAAGCTACTTTGGACAAGACTTTCTACGATTTTTGATTTTCTGTTCTCAATCGCAACTCCACCTCGTATACTTGAAAAGTGGTTGGCTCAGTTCTTAATGACCTTCATGACTGTGGAGGCCTCTCGAATAGTTGGTAGTTACTTGAATGGCCCGTCCTCACTGGTTGTGGGGGCTCCAGTATAATCTCCAATTTTTGGAGGTTTGCTGGCTAAGCCATTATGGTCCCCGACGTCAGGTTGGCCAGGCAGTCGCAGCGCTTGTGGATCAGAGGGAGATTTGCCACCATGCGACGTTGATACCAAGACGGCGGTATTGGTTTACTCTTAGCCTCTTAGCTAGACTTCCTGATGGAAACGAAGGACTCCTTCTCAGCTTGGGAGACCCTGCCGGGTGGACGAATGCTCCCGCTGTACATCGCATTGCGACACCCAGGAACACCTCCCTGCCACGATGAGGCGGTAAACCGTTGGGGGTGTCCTGTTAGTAGCTGTTAAATAGGTGAGACTAATCAAAATATTTTGTTTGCTTTGCTTCACGGCAGGATACGGGATGCTTAATATCTTCCGATAATTATGGAGTATTTCGAAAACTAATCAACAGCAGCAGATATTTTCTATATGCAAGCGAAGTGCTTCTCAACACACCTTTGATAAAGTGGATTCCTTTATCATAATAAGCATTGTCAGAGTAGTTAGAGCTGTGTATTACAAAGCGAACATTTTTAGTTCAATTTAATTTTAATTTTTATTAAAGAGGAAATTTTGAAAAATTCGAAATGGGTGTTTGTAGTAAAAAAAAATGGAGCGAAATAGGAAGAAAACTACGGCTGTATATGGATTTGTCTGACCTTCGCTCTGAGAAGACAGGATTTTTCTCTACGGAATTTTGCCAGATTTTTAAACCTCACGTATTACCGTTTACTGTCTCCATGAAAAATGTTTTTGTTTAGCATACGAACAGAGAGTAAAAGTAAATATGAGCACCAATAAATCTGGGTTTGGGAAGTGTAGTCGTTGGACAAGCCGTGCAACATGCGTATGTTACCGTTAGATCAACTCCACCCTGGGCCAACCGAAAGCACAGTTACGTAACTAGTACCAAACCTCTCTGGAAAGTGCTAGTTCCGAACACAAGTCTTGAAGGAATCGTTGGAATTATGGAGGTTACTGCTCTTCAGCGCCCAATTTTCACTTCACTGTGAGAATGGCGCAGAAGCAAATAGAAAGACAAATGCTTTACCCCTTCTTTCATCCATTTTTCTGGACGACAGTGCACCATGAGAGACTTGCCGAGTATACCATAGAGATTGAGAATATACGCAAACTATCGAACTCTGTACAGTTTCTGACATCGCATTCCGACACCCAGGAACACCTCCCAGCCACGATGAGGCGGTAAAACGTTGGGAGAGTCTCTCGAATACCACCCATAATCTTTTTTTCATAATTAGGACCAAATTACATTCAATGATTCATAAGTGATTCAAGTTACCAATAGTGTATTAATAGGATCTCCTTGTCTAGGTTGTGGTGATCTTCTCCAAAACAGAACTACCACGAACACCGAAACAGCTAACTTCCTCGAGGTTCTACCAGAGTATATGGTAATTATAAGTATTCACTAACAAAACATTTTGGAATAAAACCAAGAACAAATATTATAGGGTAAAATAGAGAGTATCCACTGTGCGATAAAGGAAGGAGATCTTGACAAGGTTAAAACACTGATGACATCGAAAAAACTGGCGACAGGTGAGCAGAGCAGTAATCATCACGTATAAAATGACGCTATAAATGCGAGATAGCAGATTAAACGAGTTGCTTTCCAGCTGCTTGCAGTATCCCCAATAAGTCGGCCGTCCAATCGTAGAGGTTGCTTCCATCTTGGACGATTATAGTAGCTAGGTTACAAAACCCCACATATCTGCCCCATATGAGGGATCTAAAGCCGGTTAGTCGCGAGGTTACATGGCGCGTTCCCAGGTGGCGGATATAGGGTTAATCGGAGACCAAAAGCGACCTTTCCTTCCTTGAGGAGCAGGTGGATCCAGAGCATGGACTACCTGTCTCTAGTGCGCCGATTTGGCACATACTTTCTGCATTCGCTAGGCGTACTCATGCATGCGTGTGTGGGTACGTTTTCGCTTATGCAGATTGTATTCTACGAGTCAATTCGGCCAAAACCCTGTAATCAAGTGACAGGGAAGTATATGGGAGGCGCTTAGGAGTCCTCTCCAACAAATAAGCTCCATGTCCACTCTGGGAGAGACTGGCAAGCAACCCGGGAGTATTACCCAGCCCCCACGTTCAGAGCCCAGCAAGCTATACGCGGGTATCAAAAAATGCTAAACACAGTAAAAAGAACGGGCCTCATTCCCCTGACCCCGAAAGAGCCCCCAATTTCGCAGCGTTGGGTAGGACGAGTACGGAAAGGCTGCTAAAATCTCAGAGTCAATGGTAGTTACCTCGATTACAAAGAACTGTGGCGACGATCTGCATTTCCAATGCACGTACACTTGCATCTGAGTCCTCGATAGAAGACTTACTCATGCAAGCAAAAAGGATAAGGCACGACGTCATCGGCTTGGCCGAGACGAGACGACGCCACCCATTCAACGCCGTCTATGACACCGGAGAAGAACTGTTCCTCGGAACATGCGACAGTAGAGAAGTCGGCGGCGTCGGCGTTCTCGTCAACACGAGTTTGTCCATGAACATCGATTCATGCGAACAACTTACAACCCGAATCGAATGTTTACGATTAAAAAGATGTGGATCAATTCCAGCTTTGACAATCTTCGTCGTTTACGCACCGACATTAAACTATGACGAAGAAGAAGTCGAAGCGTTCTATATGGACTTGGAGAAGTTCTACAGAGAAGACCACACATTCTTCAAGCTCATCATTGGAAATTTCAACGCCAAGATTGGACCAAGAAGAACGTCTGAAGAATGTCACATTAGGAAACACGGATTAGAATGGAACGAACAGGGTGAGCGGCGGTCTGAGTTTATCATGGCGACCAAGACAATCCATGCTAACTCGCAATTCCCGAAGCCCGAACTCAACGCTGGACGTCAGAGTCTCCCAATGGAGAGTACCATAACGAAATACACCACATCATAGTAAATAGAAGGTTTTGCCTAACCGATGTCGCTGTTGTCCCAAAATTCTACAAGGGATCAGGCCACGTCTCCTTCGTGCAAGATTCTATTTCTCGTGGAAGGGAGAAAAAGCCGTTAGACTCAAAAACCGAAGTCCCACAACCACCGTAAACTGGGACTTATTCAATTCATTAGTCGGCTTTTGGGAAGATGCCGTTGTCGATAACATCGACGAAGAATACGATCGCCTCATTCAACATGTTCATGTTAGCGCTATGAAAACTGGGAGTTCGAAAGTCACCAGGAGACGGCTGTCTCCAAAAACACTCGAACTGAAACGCCAGCGCGGAATCGCACGAGCTGCAGGCAACCGCGAACTAACGTTCGAACTTGCAAAATAATGCAGAGAGGCGATAAAAGAGGATCTTAGAGAGAGAAGATCAGCAGTAATGGCCGAAGCTGTAGAGGCCGGGAAAAGCATTCGCAAAGCCCACCGAAGCTTCGCCAATTACAAGACTCTCCGGCGCGCAGACGGAACAGTTACAGCATCCAGAAAGTCAGTGAAGCAAATTATTCACGAATATTACTCAGATCTCTTCGATACCAACATCCACCTTCCGTCATATGAAATAAAGGAGGATGGATATGTTGTACCACCGGTTCTCCCTTCCGAAATCCGACATACCATATTTCGTCGGTGAAAAATCGAACAGGACCAGGTCCAGACAGGATAAGACCAGAACGGCTGAAGAACCTTCCGCCAATCTCCGTAAACACACTGGCTCAACTCTTCACACGTCACCTTTCTGAATGCAAGGTTCCTCTTCAGTGGAAAACCAGCAAGACCGTGTTATTGTTCAAGAAGAGTGACCTGCACGATATCGGCAACTATCGCCCAATCTGCTTACTGTCTGCCGTCTACAAACTTTTCACTCGAATCGTCCTAAACAGGATTGACAGAGCACTAGACGAAGGACAGCCATGTGAGCAAGCAGGGTTTCGAAGAGGATTTAGTACGGTGGACCACATCCACACAATCACAAAGCTCATTGAAGTATCGCGAGAGTACAAAGACCGCTGTGTCCCACTTTTATCGGTTTACACAAGGTCTTTGACTCAATAGTGATAGAAGCGGTCATGGAAGTCCTCGATAATAAGGGAGTCCCTACGCACGACATAAAGATTCTTCGTCAGCTATACAAGATTTCACAACCAAAATATCACCATTCTACAACCATAGTAACATCGACGTCAAAAGAGGAGCTAGGCAAGGCGATACCATCTCACCAAAATTATTTACTGCCACCCTCCAGAAATTCATACGAACATTGGAATGGGATAATATGGGAGTGAAAATCGATGGTCGGCAGCTACCTCATGTTCGCTTTGCTGATGACATCGTCCTTATAACACCATGCATCAGCCAAGCGGAACGTACGCTTGACGACTTTGATAAAGCCTGTGGAAAGATTGGTCTTCGACTAAATCTCACAAAACCGATGTTCGTGAGGAACGGATTGGTTTCTTATGCCCCATTCACGATCAACGGAACGTATATCTTTGAATGCGCCAGTTATATCTATCTAGGTCGGGAAATCAACATGTTGAACGAGTTAGCCCCAGAGATGATTAGAAGGAAACAAGCGGTTTGGGGAGCTTTCAAGAACATCGAGGATGTAGTGAAGAGAACAAAGAACACCCGACTCTGTGCCACCCTTTTCGACTGAACTTCCTGCCCTAGCGTATGCGTCAGAAACTTGGTCGCTGCATAAGCAGGATGAAATATCACTCAGCGTTATCGAACACGCAGTCGAAAGGACGATACTAGGAGTATCCCGTTTCACACAAGTAAGGCATGGCATCCGAGGCTACGTCAACGATCAAAAATCAAAGATGCCGTTCTGTACGCCAAACAGTCGAAGATAAGGTGGGCAGGACGCGTAATGCGTATGAATGACAACCGATGGACAAGACCCGTTAGTGACTGGATTCCTCGGGATGTCAAACGTACTGCAGGAAGACCACCGACCCGATGGTCAGAGTTCTTGAAGAAAGATGTGATGCTCGACATGTCCAAGTCCTAGAGCGAGCACAACCCACTGGGCTACTCTTACACGCGACACGGAAAAATGGAAAACTTGCTGCCACCAGCTCGGGTCACTCGACGATCAATGGGTCTACAGGTGACAGGTTACAAACCTCAGGCGACAACCCGTGGCGAAGGGCTACAAATCTATGTCAGGATTTCAGTGAAAAGCTCATTCATCATTCAACATGTTAATGAGAAGGAAAACTGACAGACACTGAGGCCGAAGCTAAACTCACAACCGGCTACGATCATCCTCGCCGATCGGCGTTGTTGACGATAAAACAAAGAGGGCGAAATGTTAGGAGCTCCATGTCGTGTAAAAATGGGTCAGCTAACCATGTATTTAAATCAGAACTTACATTGCCAATGCGAGATGGAAGGAAAAACGAAAGCTAATGCTCAAAAATTGGCTATTACAAGGGAAATGGTCTAGAATAATTCAAGATAAGAAAACTATTCCAAGAAATATTTCACTGGTTACGCATAGTAAAATCATGCAAAAGCACATATTGATTGGATCACATGAGAGCATTAAAGCAACTTAGCTCTGGATGAATACTCTTTAGCTTTACAAATATTGTTTAAGGAAAGCCATTTGATCCGTAAATTAGTTATATGAGAATTTCTGAAATAATGAGTCAGAAGGGGTTAGGAGAACAACAACACTGAGGAAGATATCTATTTCAGCTAGGGATCGTTACGGTTGTACACCTTTGCACACAGCTGTCGTCTATGAGCACACGAAAATTATTCGCTACATCGCCGGTCATTTCCCTTCCGTCCTGAATTCACCCGACTATGTAGGCCGAACATATCAGTCCTGAATGGAATATTCAGCTTAGTATGCTTTCTGTCTTTGCTTAAATTTTAGAATAAACGTACATCGATGCACTACGCAGCAGCGGCACGCGATGGTGGCCATTATCTGAAGATACTTAGTAAAGCAGGGGCAGACCCGATGGCCGTGGATAACGTGAGTAATTCTAACGGTAGTGACGGGAATATACAGTTTTTGAAATGGTTTCCTATCTCAGGAAGGCCGAACACCAGACTATTACCGGCGAAACGCGGTGCTTGATTTAAAAATGATGAAAGATAGAGGTGAAGAATATAAAGAGATGGGTGGAGACGGGCTCGAAGAAACAGTAGCTCTTGACAGTCCCGCAAGCATCGAAAGTGGAACAGAGAGGTTGCGTTTAATTGGACTAGTTCTATGGCTTCTTGTATTATGCTTATCACATATATAAGTTCTTCATTCAAATTACGATGGTTGAATTGATGTAAAGATCAGTGCTTTAACGAGCCCATAACTATGATATTCTACTCCGAAACGATAAAAACGATAAAGCTCTCGGCATTGGTCTATTTCTGAGGAATGCACCACGTACTAGACTTCATTAAGCATCGTTGGAGATGACTGAATGCATATTTGGCCTTTATAACGACTCGCGATGGCCTACCGATATATCAAGCCGGTGCTGCTATCCTACCAGACATGTCTGGTACCAATTTTCCGACTCCGGAGGGATCGATGGCTTGGTGAACCTGGGAGGCGGGGATCGATCCCATGCGTATTGCAGGACGCCTCAGACCACTGCGCTACACACGCACCACTGACTACTACAACCGTGATGAAAACCCCCACTAATTTACTTCAAGCGACAGACTTTAGAGAAACAGTGGAGGAATCCGTACAATTAGGTATTTTGTCGCTGTGATTATGTACCACAAGATTGTCCCTCCAAAATCTGTATACTCAGTAATCCACATTACGATTTCATGTTATACGGTCTACGAAAGGGGCGCATTTAGTGAAGTGGTCGGAAGCGCCGTGCAATACACATCGGATCGATTCCTGCGTCCCAGGCTTGCCAAGCTCTACATCCCTCCCGGGTCCGCAAATTGGTAGCGGACCAGTCTGGGAGGACATCAGCACTGGCCCGATAGATCGGTAGGTCACTGCTAGTCATTCTAAAGGCCAAATATACATTCAATCACCTCCAAAAATGCTTAATGAAGTCGAATACATGATGCATCCCTCAGGGATTGATCAACGCTGAGAGCTTTTAGCTTTCACGGTCTATGAAATTGCAATGCCAACAGCCACCTATTCTATTACCATTCGAACGTCATGCCAGGTAAGTAATTTTCCTATATGAAGCGTAATCCACCATTTCGTCAGGCTTCTATTTCAAGCACACTCACTTGAGCAGATGACATGAAAGTCATCTGTTTAGTTCTGCTGCTGAATCTGCACGTGCGAATGAAGATGACGACGACACAGATCGTCGTCGATTCGAACGCATGGTCCACGGTCGAACCGATTTGCCCACTTCTGAAAATGGCATATATCTTGCTCGAACCGTCGCTCCCGTACTTACAAAAGCGCTGGCTGAGGTTTGTCAAGGTTTCGTCACATCATCTGATTTTTAGAAACTTTTTAGGACAACACCAACAAAGGTCGTTGATTTTACGCCCACCCAAGAAGAATGGGAAAATATACTCACGTGATATCATAGTATCCTCCAACTCATTGTAGCATCAGTATTTTTAGAATATAGTCAGAATTAGAACGAAGCGGACTCTCTGGAAAGTTGTGTCCAGCACAAATGGAACTCAACCTCTTTTCCTCTTGACTTCAATCATTGGACAAGCAAGACCCTGTGCTTTCAGGTACTACTGCGTCGTCCGTCCGACCCCATTGGCTTCATATCGGATTACTTGCAAAAATACCACAATCAGCTTCCCCATCGTTCCCGTGGAAAGTTGGAATAGAAGCTGGAAACACATAACGGTATACGACGGACTACACTACCAGTTACAGTACTACGTAAGCACTCTCACTCCAGAAATTTGTTCCCAAAACACATTCATTACACTAATGTTGTATGTAGCACTAGTCCCTCTTGTTATCCTTTCTTCATTATCTCGTCTGGCATACCATTTTCCAAACATTTATTTTTCCAGTACAATTTTCGCCCACCTAGATCGAGTTTACAAGTTGTTGAATTTTTGAGCTAGGCCTCCACTACGCCCTCACATAGGCTCTCTGTAAGCGCTACGTGAAGCCACCCACTGCGTAATCATATTTAATTATAGTTTAATTTATCCTATAGGGAGCTACTAGTGGACAGAATGACGATTTGAAACTGTGAACAGATGAAGAGTTTGTATTTCTCAGTCAATCAAATTAATAAATTCATGTAGAAAACAGTGCTAAATAAAGAACTGGTCTAGAAAAGCCTTTAAAGCAACACTGTTCTACGTGATAGCGAAATGATTTACAACAATTACACTTATCCGTCACCAAACAGCATCGGTGTTCTCTAGCGCTTTGGGAATCATTCCACTCTATAAGGGTGCTTTGCATGTTCTACTAAGTAGTAGTCGTGTGCTCGCTGTACATTTCTCCAGGTATAAGTAGCTCTACTGGCCTGTAAACTTCTTCCGACACCTTCGAGGTAAATGCCACTTGTAGTCGATTTCACAAGGAAATGATAATATGTCATATAGAGCCTGTGGACAGCAGGAATATAACACTGGCCAACAAGGCTCACAAAATCAATAGAAACCTGCAAGCTCGCAGTTTTGAATTTACACGAATAGTCAATCTTTCCCTTATGCGCACTACTTCGACACTTGGATGGCCCGTCTTCTCAGGTTGTGCGAGCCTCAGGATAATTTCCAATTTTTTGGAGCTTTGCTGGTTTAGGCATTATTTCTTCGGGGTCCCGAGGTCAGCCAAACCAAAGTGTGCCCCAGGTCGTCACCACCACAGGCAGTTGCCACCGTTGTGGATCAGAGGAAGAATTTTCACCATGCGACTAGTTTGATACCAAAACGATGGTTGATCCTGGTATTAGTAGTAGTTTACTCTTAGCTAGGATTCCTCATGGAAACGCCGGACTCCTCAGCTTGGGTGATCCCCCTGGGTGTGAGTCCCCTCGTACATCACAGCCCAACACCCAGGAGCTCCTCTCAGCCACGAGGCAGTAAACCGTTGGGAGTTACGTACACTACAACTAAAACAAGCACAATGACAGCGTAGATAGACCATATAAGAAGCACTGCAACCAAATGATGGAGTTATTTCTCCTTGGACAAATGCTATCACTTGTACACATTTCATCGTGAATCTGATCCGTCGTGCTGAAGAACCTGTTCTGCAACATGCTGTGGACTTTTCCGCTAGAACGACATAGAGGTACAGTGGAGTATTCAATCAGAAGTAATTGTCCGACAATATAAATAACTCTTTATTCACAGTGTTTCCTCATAAGGTAACGTAAGAGCTTAACAATATTCCGAAATAAGAGCGAAATGTTGAAAGGCGAGGAACGGCCTATCTGCTTAATGCTCAGTTCAGTCCGACTTGAAGTTGAATAGTTTGCATATCATCACTATGATATGACGTCACTTAGTAACAGTATATACGAGAAAAGGTTTTTCGGGATCGTGGAAGCTTCTGAAAGAGAAATCACATCAAGTAGCGGAAAGACATCGTAAATTAATGTTACCAGTAATAGTCTATGCTTTTACAATCTTTTGAAAAAAGCATAGAAGAATCCGAATACGCCTGCTTAGTTCCCCATAGATGAAAGTGTATACCAGCTAGAACTCTATATTAGATAACCATTCATTGATAAGCGGAAGAAGACAACAGAAGGTTAATAGCGCATACTTCCTTCTCAAAAGACACACTCATCCAGACAGAAAAAAAGACATAAGAGGTTGAAAACACCTCGAACTAAGTACAATTTGGACAAATTTCCACATCTTGTTGAAGCACCTGCATGTTTGTTTAGTTGTAAGGAGTGAACAATAAGGTTTTAAGAGGATTCGAGCAGAAAACAATTGCCTTGTAGCGTCAGAAACTGAAATGTCTTCGTGCAATATATTAATACTTGTAATATTTCAACTCTTTCACAACCGCATACCAATGGAGCTAAAATGAAATGCGCGCTGAAATGAAGATTTACGATCCGTAAACTGTGCAAGAGACACGTCGCAGTGGTTTCTTAAGATTACCGCTCTATAGTTCGGTTCCTACATATTTTCTTTCATGCCTATCTAACTCCTATACATCTGCTGTCCTTTTCTGTACGTCCCCATGTTCTTGGACACCTCTTGTATGTGATCAAAACAAAAAATCCGTCGGCTCTCTAACATCGATGTTATTACCTTTCCGCACGGTTTTGGGTTACATTTCTTTGTGCCTTTCATATTTTGCACCTCCACCGATTTCATACCACAGTGCAAAATTATTAATATAGCTTATAGCAATTATAACTGAGAACACCCACTCGTGAACCGTTAATATAGCAATTATAGCTGAGAACACCCACTCGTGAACCAGCCCCAGTATAAAACCACTGTTTGGCAAGCCATCAATTGACTATGAACGGTCATCAAGGGGTTGCTTGATCAAAAAGTACCATATGTACGTGAAAATATCGAAAGAGAAGCATTTTGGTGAACACTAAGCGTTAAATAGTTGTTACAATACAAAAGGTTCAACCCTTTCACTGCCCGGAAATTTTCGCGCAGCTCGACCCATCGAACGGTGTGTCACGGCGCGCAGTTGAGGTGCGCATTGAAATCGATGTACACGGTCGTGAGAGGGTGAAAAGAATCCTGAGTAATATTAAAATGGTTCTCTAACTTCCCATGCATTCAAACATATTTTTTAGACCAAATTCATTAGGAATAGTTTGTTTATATAAATCACAAGACAAATTCTCACATACTTCATGTATCTCTCCGCAAATCGTTTGCCATCATCTGATGGATCGCTGAATGCAACCCTGAACACACATCAAATGAACCCAGTTCATGAAGGATAGATTATTTAGGCACAACTACCTATGTCTTGGCACAAAAATTCCAGTAAAACACCATTTTCTCGCTATGTCAAGAATTTCACGAGCGATCCCTTTCATTCTTGCTGTGGGATGAGTCCAAAGTCGATTCACACCGATAATCGGATTACCGTCTGAGATAAGCTATAAATGCTATTTATATAGAGCTGCATTACAATTGAGAATTGTTTTACACAAAACTCTGCAATGGTTGCATAAACCGCGAGAAACCACAGTAGGTTAGAAAAGAAAATGCCTTATCATTACCTCTCCTGTAGATGAACACTGTGCGGAGAGCAGCGGTTCAGTAATTGCAATACCAGCAATGTAACAAGTAGAACCCTGAACGAACGCTGTTGTTCCAGTGGGATATTAGATTTGTTCCAGTGCAAAAAACTTGCTGACTACATTATTTTTGAAAATATACTAGCAATAGACACTTCCTAAGCCGTTTTTCAAGCTATACAAGTATCTTGACAAAGGTGAAAAGATGACAATACCAATCACAGAGATACCACCTCGATTAATCAGATTTCCAGTTAAACGAATGCAATAGGAATGCATGAAAACCTTGTTGAGAATTGATGCCCACACAGTTCTTCTTTTGTCCCATCCCCAAATTGACAGATCGAAGCAGAAACCCAAGCTGGTATTCACAAAATCCTGAAGTGTAGTAAGTCACAACCTTAATTTTATATTTGCTGCCTAATACAATTTTCACAGCAGGGGATTATGTGAAATACAATCAAGGTGATGCTATTTGTAAAAGTCCGAACCGCAGGTGTCTGCGATGGGAAACGATCAGAAAAAATGGTGGGGAAACCGAACACTTTGGTTGTAGCAAGAGTGTTTACCTGGAAGGAGGTAAACATATAGCACAAGACAATCGGTTCAGAAAACAACCTCAATCACTTTCTCCACTTGTCGTCTAAGGGAGGACTGTGAATCAGGGCGAATTCGAAATATGTAACCGTGTTTGGACAAGTAGTGACACTCCTTTCTAGAAACAGCAGCGAATCGGTGGAAACAAGAAATGAAGCTAAAGCGAAATCTAGGATGACTAGACATACCTTAGCCATAAGTTGAGACGGTATAGCGATATCTGGACTTCACTGATATTGGCAAATCGGTTGTGGTGTTCTTCGTGCAACTTCACTTCTGCCACACTTTCTATCGTGTACATCATATCACACTAAACTTCTGTTATCCGGTAGAAATACACCGGTCGATCTAATCTATCCCTTCCAAGTTACACCGTAGTACAGCATTGTGACATATTTTAACCGTACCTGCTTACAGTACTGTCCTCCACACCTCTGACCAAGATCGAGGATGGTTTGTTTCAAATCATTTTCATCAATGGTAAGTCTCAACTTCTTCTTAACAATCGGTTTCGTTTCAAGTTCAAAAAACGGTGTTCTGGTGTTCGTAGGTGTTTTCTTCGTAGATGAAGAAGAGAAGAAATCGGTAACTCGCTTTTGTCTCTGCATTTTCATGCCGTTTATATCAGCACCTAGAAACGCTATGTGGAGGAAGCAGTCAAAACGTCTTGAAACCTACTTACCCAGTGGTTGTTTCACTAAGTTGCTAAACAGCCACCATTGTCAACATAAATTTCCGCGTCTCACTCTTGAAAGGAGAAAACAAGTTAAGTTTAGCAAACAACTATCGAAAATAACGGAAAAACAAATTCTCAGCGAAATGTAGTCTGGTTTGCCGAGATAACGAAGAATCAGAATCAGAGGTGAAAGCCTAACTAATGGACTACATTAGGGCGCGTGTGGCGCAGTGGTTAGAGGCGCCACTGTGACACACACGTGGAATAAATCGCCGCGCCCATAACCCACCTAGCCTTCTATTCCTCCGGTGTTGGCAAATTCGTACCAAACATGTCTGGGAGGGAGCACTGGGTCGATACATCGATAGGCAACCGCGAGTCGTTGTAAAGGCCAGATATGTATTCAATCACCTCCAACGATGCTTAATGAAGTCGAATGCATGGCGCATTCCTCAGGGATTGATCAATGCCGAGAGCTTTATTCTTTGATGGACTACAGTTCTGACTTATCCGGACATACCAGGAATAACGAAGAAATGCAGCATACGAAAAGGAATGAATTTCAACAACGAAGAGAACAACAAGATACAAAATAGGACGAACAAGGAAAATATGAGCACGGGAGATTCGAAAACTAGACGTTCCCAGAATTTCAGACTCGTCAATAGAGCGTATCTTTCAATTAGAGCAGAGTAAATCCCTAGGTTGAAGTTCTTGAATTCTGATGTTCAGCTGGTGTTTCTTTTATTTACAAAAATTCTTCAGAAGGGTTTCGTCCTCCAGCTGAGACATCCCGAAATGTCTAAGAATGACTTAGAGCACAAAGGTACTTCTGACACTTCTTCTTCTTTAATATCATGCGATTAGCTATATTTTTCAGCATTCGCTAAAATCACGGAATATATGGTTGAACAAAATCGACCTTATAGCGCTACGGATGTCTACGCGAATCTTCGGCAAGAATTTGGAAAAACTGTATGTGATTAGCTTTATATGGAAGTGTAGCTTAGTATTTTTTCTGTAGAAAAATGTTTTTCTAGCTGGTTCTGAAGGTATTGGAGTCCTGTGCCGCATCTGGTACGTTGAAGGAGAAGATGATCGGAAAGCAGAAAATTTTTTATGCTAATCAAGTGAGCACTCTAGGTGTTTTCCTAAAGTTGTTAACTACTGTCCAACTGTGGGATCTTATGGTGTGTACCATGGTTTTTTTTTGAGTTCTGTTATTTCTTTTTCTTTGGAGGAAAACCTTGAAGTGTGCGACGAAGCAGCGATTGCTGATTTAGACTCACAGATCGGTTGTCTTTCTGAGGAGTTGAAGAGTCTCACAGCTCAAAATAAGGAAATTCAAAATGGTACCCAACTTTCAATAATATCGCTTTTACCAGTACATGCATACTTGTATATATATATATGTATATATATATATATATAAAACTCAACTCTGTTGCTTTTTGTCAGACTTGAAAGATGCCTCAAACAAGCTGACAACCAAGGCCTTACGCTCGACGATCGCCGAGCTACAACGCAAGGTACTTTCATCAATGACTATTCTGAATTTTAGCCACAATGATGGTGAGGTATTTCCAAAGCTCCCGATCGCTGGTGTCTACGATGTGGGACGAATGCGCTATTAGCCGTTGCGGTGGGCTAGCCGTTCACCACCATGCCTTGCGAATCCTTCGTTTCGCCTTTTTCTCTGCCTTGTTATTGACTTATAGGTGCTGTCAGCAGTTACTTGTTAACGGGATTGATCTGGGGAGCTCAAATCAGCATTAGACCCAGTTATGCTGAATTCTGTCTGTCAATTTAGTAATAGAACGACCATGTGACACAGTAGTTAGACATCTCCTGCAATACGCACATTTTCGTTGTTCAGTCATCTTTTCCGAGCTCGCCAAGTCAATTATCCTTCTGGGTCGACAAGTTAGTACTAGGCATGTCTGAGAATGTAGAAAACACCGACTTCGAACATCGATAGCCCACTACAAGCCATTGTATAGACATTTAATAGGGCATCCAATCACTTCTATGATGCTAGTTGTGGTCGGATACTTGGCGCCTCTCTTGGGGATTCATCAGTATTGAGCGTTATCCTATGGTCTCGTAACTAGCTTTTAGAATTGTTGCAGCATTTTATTTTGACTTTCTACTTTTCAGATTGGTCAAATGAAGTCGAGACTCGCATCACTGGAGAAGTCAAGAGATCCACTGGTAGCCGAGAATGGTAGAAAGGTCCTTCAGATGGAATCTTTGATGTTGAAGACTGTACAGAAGCGCAAGCGTATAGTGGGTATTTGTTATATTGAGCATTTGAAATCCTATGAGATCGTTCACTTATCATTGTCAGTACCACATCGTATCTCCAGAGCTCAATTTGACAAATTTAGGCCACAGACATGATTAATACGATTATGGAAAATTCACCAATGTCCAAAAAAGAACTCCTGGTTAGTTAGTTTTTCGAGCTGTTGAGAGTTCTGGAACAACTAAGATAACTTTAGGATTCGATCGGCATTGAACTGGGTGACGCTTAGTAAGGTTTCGTTGTTTCAAAAGTACAAATCAAATCTTTTCTTTTCTCAAATCTTTTCTGTAAATCAGTAAATCATTTGTTGAATACTAGAAGAATCAAACTGGAAGAATCTACCTGTAAAAATATCTCTTTTTATTTCTTCTGTCTTGTTGCCTGTGAATTTTTGATTCCTTATTCTTGTTGTTTTGTGAATGAACACTTCTTAAAAGATGCACACATCCACTGCAAGGTGAATCCCGTGTTTGTTACTGCATATTTTTAGCACTACAATTTGAACCATTTTAATGTACGCTGTTCCTTTGAGATGAAAAATGAGACCGTTTTCAAAAGCATTTCTAGTGCTAAATATCGGGAGCTAACCGAAGAAGAGGCGGAGAAGTTACGACGACAGGTTGGTTGGTTCTTCCTAAATCATCGTTTTCTTGTATAAATTTTGAGGATTTTAACTAATTCATTAGGGCTTGAGGGTTTATCCTTCACGTTAAAGTAGAAAAGTTTTGGGGAAAATTTAGTAAGACCAGCATATGCGGATGTTTTTCAGTATTACATGTTTCGTTAACTGGGGTTTATCTTGCTTCGTTTGATTGTGAGTTGCAAGTACTTTTTTGCCTTAATATTGTGTGGATCTCAGCAATTCTCCATCCTTTTTTCTTCTCGGCCGTGCTTACAACCATTGGTACAGAAGTTGAACGTGGTAGGGCATACAATATGGAGGGATACAGCTGATTCACGAGTCAGTGAACATCGTACCACTCTTTTCATGGTTTGCTCCGATATAGCTTTGTTCCTAAACTGTTTTTTCGTCAATACGTCTTCCTTCCCTACTCCTAGCTTTCCTAAGGTATCACCTACATGACATCGGCGCCTGAGTGACTCGAGCAAACGTAAGCAAAGTTACCAATCGTCTTTGTCAAGTGATGGGGTAGTCTAGTGACTTCTGATGGACGGGTTGCAAAGATCACTTTTTATTTCGTATACGAGTCCAAATCTATCGTTAGTCTCTCTATTCTGGACTTCGCCTCCTGTAGAACTTAATCGATATCTGTTCTAATAATCCGTAAAAAGTACGCTCTTTTGCATTTTGATTCCAATACACATATCATTGCTTTCACAAGGGCTTGTGCGAACTGAATGGAATGTTCTATTTAATAGTGCAAACGAGACAAAGATATTTCCATTGAAGAAGGCGTTAATTTGTCTCTTGCATGTCTTTCATCATTGCATAAGTACAAAAGTCTCATGGTGATTGTTTCCCACCGATTGCTTGAGTCAAAAACTATTGCTCATGAGGAATCCAGTTGATATTTCTCTTATGAAGATCTGACTTGATTTTCGCAGTCTTGAGTCCTTCAGCAGCGTTTGCAGTCTTTGATTATCGAAGTAGATCAGAATTCCGGTTTCGTTGTCTCGCATGAAATGATGTCCTGCTTATATCACTCTCTAGCAGGCGCATATACTAACCCAGCTCATCTCTGATTCCGTCTATACACCGTCCATGTTGAAAGAAGACTAATTGCGGAATCGAGAGGGTGGATGGATGCCAGGTATTGTTTGTACTCTTCGATATCTATTTAGTGCTTGTGTAATACCGTGAAGCCTCTGTTATCTTTCGCTCAATCCACTTTTCATTCACTTCTCAGTTTAATGACTGCAGTGTACACACTGAATCGTCGTATGGGGGTACAGTTTGCCTGTACTCAACCACACATCGATTCAGGCATGAATATGTGCCTGCACATAATCAATATACATTATATATGTATATATAGGCATGTATGTGTCACATGTATCACCTGACGTCTCGTTGATCAGCAAGTAACGCGAGCAGGCACCACTGAATCTTCCATCCATTTTTCTCTGTCGCCTTCAAAAGTAGCCCGGTAAGTTGTTTTCGCTTTAGGGACTCTTTGAACATCATACCCTTCTTCTAGGGTTTTAGCGAGGAACTGTGACCATCGGGTCGGTGGCCTCCCTGCAGTGCGTTTGACATCCCGAGCGAGCAGGTCACTAACGGCTGTTTTCCATCGGTTGTCGTTCATACGCATTACTTGTTTTGCCCATCCTATCTTCGACTATTTGGCGTACAGAACGGATTATTCATTTTTGATCGTTGCCGCAGGTCGGAGCTTAGGATCCCATCCCTTACTTGTGTGAAACGGGATACTCCTAGTATCGTCCCTTCGACTGCGCGTTCCATAACGCTGAGTGATCTTTCATCGTGCTTATGCAGCGACCAAGTTTCTTGTGCATACTTAGCGCAGGAAGTACCGTTGAGTCGAAAAGGTGGGCACGGAGTCGTGTTTTCTTTGTTCTCTTCACTATATCCTCGTGCTCTTGAAAGCTCCTCAAACCGCTTGTTTCCTTCTAATCATCTCTGGAGCTAACTCGTTCAACATGTTGATTTCCCGACCTAGATAGGCACAACTGGAGCATTCAGAGACATACGTTCCATTGAGCGTGAATGGGGCATATGAAAGCACTCCGTTCCTCATCAACATCGTTTTTGTGAGATTTAGTCAAAGACCAATCTTTTCCACAGGCTTTATCAAAGTCGTCAAGCATACGTTCCGCTTGGCTAATGTTTGGTGTTATAAGGACGATGTCATCAGCCTAGCGAAGGTGATGTAACTGCCAACCATCGACTTTCACTCCCATATTATCCCATTCCAATCTTCGCATGACGTTCTATAGGGTGGTGGTCAATAATTTTGGAGATATGGTATCGCCTTATCTAACTCCTCTTTTGACGTCGATGTTAATATCGTTCTTGAATGGTGATATCTTGGTTGTGAAATTTTTATACAGCTCACGAAGAATCTTTATATACCCAGTAAGGACTCCCTGCTTGTTCAAGGCTTCCATGATTGCTTCTATCTCAACTGAGTCAGAAGCCTTTTATGAATCGGTGAAACTGGGACAGAGCGGTGTTTTTTGTGTTCTAGCGATACTTCATTGAATCTCGTTATCGTGTTGATGTGGTCTATCGCGCTGAATGAGTCTCGTCTATTCTACTTTGTTTGGTTTTTTGACACTTATGCATAGCTTGCTGAACTCCGAACATGGGGCTTGGGCATACTCACGGGGAGCTTGTCAGTCTCTCCCAGAGGATACGGGTAGCTTAATTGTTGGAGTGATCCTATATAAGCGTATGTATGTAATGTACATGCATATATTTATGTGTAATAATTGACGCAAAAACTGGTAGTGCACCCTTTAGGTATAACTCTTTCCCAAGTAAAATGCTTAACATTTAGTAATAAATATTCGAAGAATACAATCTTAACCGCTTTATTTACTGCCTACTCTTTTTGATGGCAGGGTATATTGCGAAATATAACTTCAATGATGCTGAGATATTTGCAAAACTCCGGACCGCAGGTGTTAGCGGCGGGAAGCGAACGCGCTGCTGCCCTTTTCGGGGAGTAACGCGTTCACTATCACACCATGAGGGATTCGAAGATTGTTTTGCATAGAATTGATTTTTGTAGATTTTTCAATGTGATCTAAGAGGAAGATAGAATTAGATGATATCCTTGTATTCTTTTCTAGTTCAAGTGTGATTTTTCGTGCAATTCAAACTCCCTCACAACTTCCTTATGCTGGAAGGCACGTAGGTATCGTAACTATTACCAACATACACTGATGTTCGATCTCTAAGAATTAGAGTTTACCTCTCAATAAGAACTAGTGGACTTAGGAAGAACACATTTAGGCATTGCAACGTGGTAAAGGCACTTGGCTTTTTTTTTCAGGATACTGTTAGCCAGTTCAAACAACAGAAATTAGAAATCGAAGCACAGAAGAACTGGGATCGGTTTTACCAAAGAAATCATGAGAACTTCTTCAAGGATCGCAATTGGAGTGCACAAGATATACAAGAAATTTGCAGTGATATGAATCTCACTGTCCATGACATTTTTAGTTATTTGTGACCTATTCAACGTTTCATTGCTTAATAATGTGTGTTTCTGTCTACCTTATAGGCTGCGCTCACGTATCTTGAAGCTGGATGTGGTGTTGGCAATATGTTATTTCCCCTGAAGTCAGTGTTCCCTAACTTTCGACTTCAAGCGTTCGACTTTTCTGCACGTGCCGTCGAGATGTGTTTGGAGAGGGCTCAACGGCTCAATGTGAGTGTGGCAGGAAAATCAGTACGTTTTTTTTTTCATTGAAGAGTTCAAATAATGACGTATGTTTCATAGGTTGATGTAGAAAGTTTTCTTGTCGATCTCTCTGTACCCTCGGAGCAAACGAAGTTCTCTGAAAAAGCTGATCTTGCTACTATGATTTTTGTGCTTTCTTCAATTCATCCGGATAAACACAAAATCGCTATAAGAAACATGTGCAAATATGTCAAGGTATGTTATTTGCTCAACTCTGACTTATTGTTTACTGTAACGATGCTCAATGAAGTCGAATGCATGGCGCATCCCTCAGAGGTTGATCAACGCCGAGAGCTTTATCATTTATCCTTTATGTTCTTTGCAGTGAAAACTATGTACTCTGTAGGTCATTTGATTCCTCTATGCAATTTCTCGTCGTTAACCCATTGAAATTAGCCATATATGAGTGGTATATTGGCGAAAATTACTTGACACAAATGTTGAGTTGATAGCCGTAATTATTTGCTCGTCTTTCCTGACCCTATATCAGTTTATTTGTTTATTCGTTCTGTAGAAAACTCTTCACAAATACGGAGCAATGAGTTCTTTTTCTCGTTTCCGTAACAATAGTCACGTTTTGAAAAGCAAATTGTCTGGACAAACGAACAAAGTTTTTTCTCTGGAAGGTTATACGGTAGCCCGGATTGTTGACGGTTGCTACGTTGATATTTCATTTTTCTTTGAGAAATTGTTCTAATGTTGTTCAGAAAGTCGAAATTATGAAATTTGGAAGTAGTGAACACTTTTAAAAAATGTGTCATGAAGTAATTTGGCGCTGTCTCTTCCATAATATTGTCGGATTGTGAGGTCGAGAAGTACGTAAATTATCGAAAACTGTTGAAAAGTCTTGAAGTCGTAAACTGGTTTGAAATACCTTATTCCAACTTTTTTAGATTGGTGGTTCAGTGGTTGTACGCGATTACGCTATAAACGACTACGCAATGATACGTTTTGGCCATGGTGCCAAGCTTTTTGACCGTTTTTATGTGAGACAAGATGGAACGCGAGCGTTTTATTTTCGGCTAGGTTAATTATTTGCACATTCCTTGGCCGAAACTGACTATACAATCCGTATATCACTCATTCGTTTCTTATCTTGGACGCTGTAGAATGTTCCTGGCACTCCAGAATGGGTGGATCCTATGTGATCTTAGGAAAGCTATTTTCTACTAGTTATAATTCACGAAAAGAACTTGATATCTGTGAAAATATGCCAAATTGTTTAGTTTTTGCATTCTCTTCGACTTTTTCATAGACCAAACAATTCAATACATTCCTTATTTCAGAAGAACTAGTGGATTTATTTGAAGCAGCCGGCTTTCGGTGTGTCCGTAAAGAATACTTACATCGTCAAACGGTGAACCACCAGAAGCAGCTCAGTGTGCCAAGAGTATTTGTTCAAGCTCGTTTTGTGAAATGTTGACGTAGGTTGTTCTATTAGTGTACAGGGCTTACAAAAACTGCTTTACTCATCTGCTTCTTAGCAGCGTTTGATGCTAAGTTCTATCATAACATGGCTGTATAACAAAAATCATGGGAACTGTTTGGTTTAATACCATTTATGGGGACTTATACTTGTCCTTGTCATACCTCATTTCTTCTGGAGGTATTTCGCATTTAGCACTTTATGTTAGCATTTAAAATTCCATTTTCGTTAAATTAACAGCAGCCCGTGTTGAAGAAATATCACTTTTAAGTGGTTATTCGTATAGCTTCATTTTAGAGAGTTTTCACCTATTTTAACTCATAGCCGCAATGGTTCAATTTGCTATGGCTGCCGCATGGACAATGCCTTCTTTCATGTTGATTTTGACAGTTAGAAGAATTATGACTGAGAACGTGATAGAAGAGATAATACTCTGTTATTGCTTTACGGTTACGTATGTATGTATGCTACTATTTTCTATTTGATATTCTGGTCCATCACACAAACATGTCGGCATCAGCATTTGCGTTTTGTAACTTATGTTGTTTCTATTTTGTGACCTTTTATGCTCACCCCATACCATACGATAATCGTGGCTCACCATGGCGGCTGGAATTCGAATAACAATCAGTTATCATCGCTCAAATTACTGATCAGTGAAGTGGTTCCTAAGAAGGTTTTTTCTACATTTGGAAGTGCAGAACGAAGATTTTTCGGCTGGCCACAAAATCGATAACACTATGCACCAAAATAAACCACCGATAAATAAATGCATTGAATGCAATGCACTTCGTCCGTCTTAACTCTTCACGCATACACAGTGTACAATTGCATCTCAGGCGTTGTGTTAACGGCTTAGTGAAATGATTACAAAGGTGTCTGCACTATATTATTTATTTGCTACCAATCTGAATTGTCATAAACTTTCTGTCCATATTCATGAATAATAGGACAGAAATTTATTTCCGCTATATATTATATATATTGTTGTGGAGGATGTGTCATGACTACACAAAAGCCAGTAAAGTCAGTTGGCCACCATGTCTTTCGTCATATTCCTTAATGAATTAAGCTTCTTCAGCTTCCTGAAAGTAGCATATCGATCTAGTTAGGCGCTTTCTGAGGAGGCTGTTCTGATATAATGATGCTGAGATATTTCGCAAAACTCCAGACCGCAGTTGTCTGCGGTGAGGAACGAACGCGCTATTGTCCTTTTGCGGAGGGTAACGCGTTAACCACCACACCATGCGCTTCCTTTGTTTCGCCTTTCTCTCAGCCATTTTTTTTAGTTTTGGCAAAGTGAACACTGTGATTTCGAAGTGCAACAATAACGATGCTGGGATATTTACAGAACTCCGGACGGCACGTGTCTATGGTGGGGATCGAGCGCACTATTACCACCCCTCCCCCGGAAAGAGAATGTCCCATAGTATTTATTATTTAGCTGGTTAATTTCTATAAAGAGGTTTAAAACGTAGTTGATAGATGAGAAACACTCTGCTTTAAAAGAGTTCGTTAAATAAAGGCCTTGAAATACGGCACGGTTAATGGGGGACTACGAAAAGTGTTCAGCAAGTAAAATGACAATTGATGGGATTTTCGATGGTGTCTGCACTATTTGTAAAGATATATAAGTGCAAATGCTAACTAAATACCGTATCAAGTATCTTAGTGAATACTCACACGCATGTTTCCCTAGAAACACAACCCTCTTCTTTGTTAGAGGACAGTAGCACGTGGCCTTCCTTGCACATGCATCCTGGAGGGCCACATCTCAGTGAAAAGCACGGTGACCTCTGTAATTTTTGCGATTGAATGATTTGTAATGTTTGATATTTAAACGTTGACATTATTAGGTTTGATAACCTTTACCTAGAGCTCCTTATTCTTCTATTCTTATTCTTCTTAAGCAGTAGAGTACTGCCTAAGTCAATTAGAGGTTAGTTTAGGATAAGGTGAAGAATAGCATTGGTTACCTGAAGGTAGTTATCGCATGTCTTCTCGGGGCATAAGTTCGTGCATTCACGTAATTCGGCGTTTTTCGGACATTCTACTGTAATAAGAGACGTTGACTTTTCTCCCCTACCATGATTTTTGTTAAACTGTGTGAGTAATTAGACGAAGTATGCTTTTGTGAAACACTCAATATGAGTGGAAATTTTTGTCAAACCTCTAATTATGACATATAGAAATGATCTCCAGAAGTATTTCATAACATGAGCATGAATGGTAAGTGTTTCGCGGTGACTGCGATGTACGGCGAGGTGTCAATCTTCCAGAAGAACAACCCACTTGGAGTTCTACAACTCCATCCGCTAGACCAGCTAAGAGCAAATGTTTGCAACGACAGAGCTTAATGAGTTTCTGGTGGCAGCCTTGTCGCCAAAACAGTAGAACAAAGAAGACACCATACCAAAAATGTGACGTTTTTAACGTTCCTTGAACGGACGTAACCTAACGAACGGCTTTGGCGTGCTGTGGGGAGAGTGGAATTCAGCGGTCCTAATCGAATTATTTGATAGTTAATGGAATTACAGAACAAAGGAAAAAAGGCAGGAATAAAACGAAACATCAAGAGTTGACACAACAAGTCCACAATGCGTTTGGAGTAGAACGAGAAGGCAGATTTTTTTCGCTTATTGAATCAACTTATACCATCCATACCATTCCCAGTTTCAAAAGCTACTCAGTACTGATTAGACAGTAGAGTTCCCTAATGAATCATCACAGTGATCTGTTAACGGTGACATTTTTTAGAATTTAGTCAGTTTCGTCCAAAACGCCGTGAGAACAAGACTTCTAATCATTCCAATTGGAAGCACATGATGTACAGTGTGATTATTTACATCGATGATTTAAAAACGAATCGACATGGCTACCTTAGAAATCAAGAAAACTTGAATTTGGTGGCAGACAGGCTCAACTATCGTACCGTGAAAGCAAGTCGTTTGTGCAAAGAACGATTGGAAAACAGTCTAGAACACGATGTACTTCGTGTGCCAAGAGAAATCTAACGTCGTCCCATACTGGCGCTAAGCAGTTTCCTTCATTTATCGACGATATTCGAAATAGACACTGATGTCATAGGGACTACAACCAGTCTTTCTTTACGGAACCACTCGTCTTACTAACTCAGAGCACTGTTGGCAAAAATACCAGAAAACATCGGTCGAAGCCTGACTGTTGAATCAACATCGGAGGTTGGTGGGCATAGGTGCTCGAAGATGGTGGGATATTGACAGTTCTACTTTTCTTTCCACTATGTTTTAGACGACTGAGTGGTACCAGGTGTCACTGCTGCATATCCAGAAGTTTCCAGCTAGGACGACACTAGATGAGTTCTCCATTTCTTATGGGCTAGCAATGTCATTATATAACTAAATCGATAAATGACGGAAAATAGCCCATCATCACTTAATTTGGCCATCTGTCTGTCTACTAGAGCCATTTCAACTACACACATAAAACTTTCATTCAATTTCTGATCTAATTTGCTACTTTGCTGTTGATCAGAGAACCACCCAATTCTTACTGGTTTTCGTGTTGGCATTTCTCTTTTGTCGAATTGATTTCGATTCTTCACAGACGTTGACGGTCACAAAGCATTCGTCATCATCCAAAACCTGAACGATGGTCACATTCCTCTTCGATCAGTCTCACAATCATTTTGCAACTACGAGCTTCAAGCCATCAGAAAATCATTTCATTTCGAATGGACTTGATCATGAGATTCTATTTTCCTAGAGAATCTCATACAAATGACTGCGTTTCATTCAGTGCTTTCTCGAATTCGAAATTAGTCAACTACAGGGGAATGTACTAGTCAGGAACTGCCGGATTTGAAATGATGAGATCGACATTCGGATTTTACCAGTTTAGTGCACTTGTCATCGCTCGGCACTTTCCGCACTGGCGGACAATCCCATCTTAAAACGCAAGTCGTTGTGTCTGGATTGCAAAAGTATCCACGCTCGCAGTAAACGTCTCCACATCCTGAACCATTTCGAGTTTGAAATCTACCGATCCCCTTAATATCTCAAGAAATAGAAAGTGGTGTTAGTAAGTTCGGAATTTTACTTCATACATGGTTGCTCTAAATTTATTGACCATTAGTTATGCATAACATGAAGTGACTTTCGACAGACATTGAGGAAAAACACATAGATAACACTTTTGCAAATTCTGGTTAAATAAGATATCCGTGAAATAAGTTCACTGGGTGCTTAATCTTTGGCTTGAGCGTTAACTGGCTGTTGAAATCACGAAGGCTTTTTGAAAGTAACCGTGATGAGTTATTTCTTCAGCAGCTATTTTTGTTAACAATTTTCGGCTACTCGTGTTCTTTAGCGTAGGAGACAGTGCTCAATTGGTATGAAAATGGTTTCGCGTAAAAAAAGAAACGTGTTTCTCTTATAATCTGTACAGAAAATTTGCGCCACTACGATCGTAAAGGGGGCGTGAGAACGTCAGGAAATGCAGGAATTGTGGAAGAAGATCAAAACGGAAAGCTAGAGGTTCACATTTGGCCTTATTTTCGGTACAGATCATAGGCGACGACGACAGGAAGTGAATTAACTGCGATTTTCCTTGTTGCAGATGATTTTCGGCATTGGACAGTCTCTTTCATCCGGCACCAGAATCATTTTGCACCCGGGTTTCATTCTTGGCATCATCACTTGAGGACAGTCAGGACGTCCTAAAGAGAATCCACTTCATTTCCTAATTTCAAAAAGGGCATAAAAAATGACAAAAAAAGTTTACAAACGGCACGGCGAATCAATGTAACTCATCACAAGCGATTGCCTAGAAATTGAAAATTGTTCTCATTACAAATAAAGTGCTAGCAGTCCAAACGCTTCATTTCTTATCGAATTAAATAAAGCGCTTTCCGATGACTACCTTTATCTAACATACTGTGATTTGAAATCAACTCATATAGGCCGATCTTGTAAAGAATACTGTTAGCAACTCTCTTAGCAACAACAACTTCGCAACTCTGTCGATTCAGAATGCAATTTTTCGTCACGGGAAGCAGAGATATCTTAATATAACCTTAGCACCGTCCTCTTTGATACATATCTTCGCTGTTTTTGTTCCGTCCTCACCACGAAGCAAATATTTATGCAAATTATAAGAGTAGACAATAGTTTTCTAGGCCCTTGTCTCTATTTAGTAGGCTCTTAATTGAATATAGAAAGCACAGGAAAAAAAAAGAGCGCCTGGTTATGGAAGTTTGGCCGTGTAGATTACAGTCAACTTGACCCTTCCAGGCTCTGAGGAAGGCGAAGTCCGCCGAAACGTCAGCTTGTACGTAAATAAATAAATAAAATAACACCTCGTGTTTGTTAAACAAAAGTAGAAAAATTTGTTCTCATTTTTCTGGTGTATAGATAAAATACAGGGATTGTTTGAACATCAGATGGACGTTCACTGTAAAAAATGTTGAGATGGTGAGTAATCCGTTCCTAGAATAGCTACGAATCCTATCCTATGAAATTCTGCATTAGAAACTTACCATAGCAAGTCCCGTCCTCACATCTACTTCCAGGAGGGCATTTGCCATTTTTGTCACATTTGAACGGATCGTTAGGATCACTAGCAAAGACTGAAATTTGAATATATCACTATTCACGAAGGACGTTACGGTGTTAGAACTAAATAGTGAACAATGCCTTATAGAGTTAAAGGCCAAGAACTCACAGTGGATAGAATTTGATGAACAACTTACCGCTCATAGTAATGATGGTGATTAGTAAGATAAGCTTCATCATCTTCTGAAATAGTTATTAAACACGCATAGTCCTCAATTTTAGCTTGTATTCACACACGATAGCGATAGCATTGAAGTGAGCGTGTGTTCGGAAGCCATTAGGAATTCAAGTGAGACAAAAAGAAATGGGATAACACCTGCTAGTAAGTCAGAGTAACATGGAGGGATGGTACGGACATGATGGTGAACGGGAAAGAAGGATGAATGATGAGGCTTGTGAGGTGTGAATGAGGTGGCCCAGTCGTCATCGAGCGGCGGTTCTACACACGATCGTTGTTGGTTCGCCTGCTGCGCAAATAACCGCCATCGATGGATGGAAGGTCCATCAGTTCAGCGCTGTTCTCTATTCTCACAGTCTACGGACACGTACTGATCAAAACAAAAAATCATCAGATGTTGATCAGTCATTGATCAAGAAGCATAGTGACATTGCCGATCAGTAGCAAGAATGCAGTGAAGAATCACGTAATAGAGTGCGACATGTCAAGATGTGAATGTGCAAGAGATACGAGTCAAACGCGATAAATTTAACACTAAAGTCTATACATACTGAACGAATAAAGGGATTCGTCATGACGTAACTGAATGCATATTTAGCTTATAAAGAAACCTACGATGGCCTACGAATGTATCCAGTCAGTGTTTTCTATCCTCCCAGACTGGTCTAGTGCCAATTTGCACGCCGGATGGATAGGAAGCTGGTTTTGCTCCGACGCCGGGATCCAACCAATGAGCCAGTGTCAACTGTGGGTACTTGTACCCACTGAGTTACACACTTCCTTAGCTTTACAGAAAAGAGTCTTTAAATGCATTAGCATATCTCTCAACACAAGTGCTATTACAGCAAGCATATCAAAGTTCGTTATTGTTTTCTGCTGCGTTTTCATTCACAGTTTAAGTAGATTCTCCGTCCGACTGTCGAAGTATTAAATGTGAGATGAACATGAGTCTTCTCCCTTCCTTGGGAATTTACTTAAATGTTTGAATGGTCCGTCTTCACTGGTTGTGAGGGTTCGAACATAATTTCCACTTTTTCGGAGTTTTGCTGATTTACCCACTGTGGTTCGCTGGAGACTCGAGGTTAGCCTAGCCAAAGTCTTCGCCAGGTCGTCACCACAGGCAATTACTTTCCTTTTGGATCAGAGAGAGATTTGCCACCATGCGACTAATTTGTTACCAGGACAGTGTTGGATCCTGGTATTGATTTACTGCTAACTGGGCTTCCTGATGGAAGTATCAAAAACCTGATTTTTCTCTATATCAGGCATAACAGGGTGCATTTCGATGGTCCCAAAGTTTCGACGCTCTGATTATGCAGGTTACTGTCGAGGATGAATAACATGAAAGATTGCACAGGGAAAAGCAAGGAAGAGAAAAGTGCTAACTTTTCGTTGCATCACTTCTTGTTGGAATATAGGAAGTTTCATGAAGTTGAGGAGTAAACAATAGATGGCGAATTTTTCAAAATTCAGTTGCTAAGTGAATAAGAAGTTGAAGCCGTTCATTTTAGGTTGGTTTCACCATCGCGGTGGTAAAAAACAGCGAATCCGCCGTCATTGCCATCACATTTTTAGAGTCCGATGAAGGGTTCAGTGTTTTTCTACACCTATGCTGCAAAGCCTGAGACACACAGCTGTGACTGTGATGTAAACCCACTCCACATATCTATGCTTTCTCCAGGACCAAAAAGTACAGGAAATGCTAGAATGATGGGAATTGACCAACATGTAACGTACTCGTTTGCTTCTCGGTCGCGTCCATGATTGATGCTTGACGAACAACAGAACGAAGACTGATGAAGAAAAGGTTTAAAATGGATCGGCGGTATAGCTGGAAGACACGGGAAACGTAGATATGGTGGTAACTCGTAGAAGAACATAACAAGTAGAGATCGTCCAATGTTAGACTCCTCATAGGAAGATATCTAACCTTTTCTACTAGTAGCTAGTTCAGCTAGTATAAATATGCTATGTACGTCCCATAACGCTAACATGATCACTTAGAATACCTAGAAATAGAATCATAAAGAGTAATGGTATCGTGACATCACCAAACTATTGGTAACGTATCCAAGAAGAACAGCACCAGACACCAGAGGAACTGTGAAGTTGACCACGGGCTAGCTGTGGAGAGAACGCAGTTCATAGGAAGTGATGGATAAGACGTGAAGGACGCCAGTTCTGATTGGAAAGCTCTGGAACAACTTTAAAATAGAGGTCTTTCTGCTGTTTATATACAGCGGTACGTGAAAACAGTTGCCCAGCGAGACACGTTGTTGTGTAACGAGTAGGTGGCCGGTAGCGCTTTCTCAGCAGCAGTGTAAGAAATTGTGAGTCATTCATGCCAAGAGGGCAAATAGAGACTCAAAGACAACAACGAGAGTGATTGATACCGATCTAATCTCGTGGTCACATTTCTAAATAGTGCAGAAAGCGAATGCATTAAGCCTTGTTGATTACTTTAAAGACTGAATTGAAAATATGAACATACTTTAATGCTGGAGTGGTTAATACTCATAAGGCTTGAGGACTGCGACTGAAAGAAACTGGTATTTTTCTGATTGGACAAGTTCTTTGTTATCTTAGAGTCGTTAGGTTTCACTTATTCGCCATTAATGAACGCTTTTTTGGCGAAGTTCACTGGTTGTGTTGTAGGGTGTATAAGCAGACGGTGAAGTAGATGTTGCGTTTACGTGAAAATGCTTTACCGTCCTAAAGCCTTTGCTCCTGGAGTCGGTGTTGGTGTACTGAGTCGCCCGATAGGAACGCAACGTTCCATCTTTAGTCCGTAGGACACATAGATTTTTATGAAGCCTGACGGACGAGGAAATTTCGTCAATCTATGATTGCACCGCATTTGTTGCAATTTTGGATAACTGAATGTTTTGGAATACGTAGATGTTTCCTCTCGAGACTCGCTGTTTTGAAGAGGAGATTCGTGAGATCGTGAGGCAAGCATTTCCACGTCGACATCTTCCTGTGCGATTTTGTAAGCAGGTCACAAATCACTTGCAACACTCATGTACTGCTTTGGAATGGGAGGAATGAATATTATGAATTACTCATTGGCCATTGATTTACGCACTTCAGGTGCACACGAGAAACAATTTCGTGATAAATTTGAAGTGATCTTAACATATAAGGCACTAAAAAAATTCAACGTAGATATTCGAGAGACTCGATTTTCACTTAAATCCGACGAGAATAATCAATAATATTTTACGAGCAGTTTGTAAAATATAGGGATTTGTACGATCACTTAGAAACGTAGTGAACATTTATTAAATCATACAGAATATTCTTCACAACCTTGGTACTGTAGCTGTCAAATGACGGTCTTCAAATAAACGTCAGACTGTAATTGGATTATACCGTTTGGCAAGTGCACCGTGGATGTTTGGCAAATCAGCTACGACCTTCCTAATGGAAATGACAGATTCCTTTACTTAGATTGTACTGTTCAGCGAATGAATCTCAGTTTCGCATCACAGTTTTTATCTGCGAAGAGTCGATAAGTCTTCGTCGACCTTCAAGGTGACGTAAAATCGTAGGGCTTGAGAAAACTGCTTGCAATTGCACAAAGCTTTGTCAGGTACACTTCCAAGCTTGTATGAGATGCCTCCATAAAAAATGTCCCCCGACAAACATCGGTTTGCCATGAACCTCGCTCACGCCATGTTAAGGTATTAAGCTATTGAAGATGAGATAACTACGGGAAACTGTATATTCCGGAAGCTTGTAGTTTCGGTGAAAATCTTCGAAAACCTACCGCTCAAATTGCTTACTCATTAAATGAAAAGCGTACGCGTTAACATCCTGTATTTGTCATAAGAAAATAAAAAAAAATATTAAAAAATATTCATCGCTCTAGGGTTATGCTAACCGTTAGCACAATTTGTTGCCGTCGTGGGAAAGCCCCAGTTGCCATGCAGTGAGCTTGCCTCCGAACTTGCAGCTGAACGTATACCTAAGCTCGACCATCTCTATGAATGACAGCTACAAGACAACGAAACGAATTGAAGAAACACTGATTTGTGAACGTTAGGTGAAGAACGACAATCCAAGTATCTAAGTTCCCTTGTCTCAAGGCCTCCTGTTGTGATATTACACCATACACGAGTGGTACATATATATGACATGAAACTCATCCTGCATATCTCTGCAACAAATAGATGTTGCCATTATTACACAATGTTGCACTTTGTCGTCTGGTTCTTAGATATATACTACTGTTAATTGGACCACACTCTTTCACTGACTTGTGAACACTTTCAGAGATCAATCCAGTTGTTTCTCAGGGGATTTTTCAGGGGAAGAAATTTTGAATTTAGTAAGTAACTGTGAGGTAAACATGACAGTTGAACAAAATGAAATGCCGAACTAACCTTTATCAATGTTATTCCTTTTTATTTTCCGCCTATTATAATTTCGCGGCAGGGTACTAAGCGAAATACAACCACAACGTTGCTGAGATATTTGCAAAACTCTGGGCCGCAGGTGTCTATGGTGGGGAACGAACGCGCTATTGTCCTTTCCGGGGAGTAACGCGTTCACCACCACACCATGCGGGTCCTTCATTTCGGGTAAAAAGGTATAACATTATGATTTCAACTACAGCCGCAGCTTAACTGGGCTCTATGCCGATTTGGGCGCCCCAGATCAATCCCGCTGACGGGTGATTGCTGCGGCAAAGATCGATAGAAATAGCTGAGAGACAAGCGAAACGAAGGACCTGCATGGTGTGGTGGTGAACGCGTTACTCCCCGGAAAGGACAATAGCGCGTTCGTTCCCCACCATAGACACCTGCGGCCCAGAGTTTTGCAAATATCTCAGCAACGTTGTGGTTGTATTTCGCTTAGTAACCTGCCGCGAAATTATAGTAGGCAGAAAATAAAAANCGCAGCTTAACTGGGCTCTATGCCGATTTGGGCGCCCCAGATCAATCCCGCTGACGGGTGATTGCTGCGGCAAAGATCGATAGAAATAGCTGAGAGACAAGCGAAACGAAGGACCTGCATGGTGTGGTGGTGAACGCGTTACTCCCCGGAAAGGACAATAGCGCGTTCGTTCCCCACCATAGACACCTGCGGCCCAGAGTTTTGCAAATATCTCAGCAACGTTGTGGTTGTATTTCGCTTAGTAACCTGCCGCGAAATTATAGTAGGCAGAAAATAAAAAGGTATAACATTCTGACGAGATTGTTTAAAAGGAGTTAGCAAAAGCATAGCTTGTAAATTTTGTAGATCATGAAGAGTGGGCTCTACTTAAAGGTGTGGAGTTCAAAACAAATGGAATGTAAAATATTTATTTATGTGATCTTATAAACTGATCTTCTTAAGCTGATGCTAGGTTGGTACACATCTTCGTTGTCGTTGTCGTTGTTTCTGATGTTATTGATCGATGGCTGATGTTTCGGCGACTTCGCCTTCCTCAGAGCCGTGATGTTACGTGCGGGAGTCCCGCAACGAAAATCTGTACCAACCTCGCGTCAGCTTAGGAAGATCAATCTATACTGAGGTTTATAGAAAATCGGTCTTTCAAGTTATTATACGACTACGACATGTACGTCAGTGAAGCTGTATACAGAAGGGGTTTTCTCGGTCAACTTCCAATACACCTGGTAAGGAAGCTGTAGATTTAGATATAAGGTATAGATATGAAGATGTAAGCTATAGAATGAGATACATTGATATAGCTTAGCTCGGAAAGGAGAATAAACGCGCAGAGTCCGAGTCATGAAGAACTCGTACGGACCTGTGCGATGAATCGTATATGTGCAGAGTGGGTGATCTGTGATTAATTTTCCTCATTGCTGTTTATTTTGATTTTTTCCCTATAATTTTAGGATTCATCCCGTATCTTCGCCTCGTTCGAGGGAAGCAGTTCTCTACGGTTAATAATGCTCGGAAACCGTTTTCTGGACGAATTTGTTTATCACGGCACGGAGACCGTTGTTGGTAAGGAGGCTAGGAGGAGTGTTCCAGCTGTCCTTGTACACTGGGCTTCGACACTTATGGAGACGTTCTCACCACGATAAGATGATAGATTACTGAAGAAACTTGTCATCTCTGTAACTGTACAGTGGCTGCGCATTTGGCGTCTCCTGAGTTGTACAAAAGCTATGTGTTCACGAAGTACGTGAGAATCAACGTGCTTCTACACGTTTTGTCCCTGGAAACATTGAATATTCTCAGCTCTTATTTCCATAACCTTTCACTAATATTGTAAAAGATGTGCTTAAAGCGTTCATTTCACATATTACAATTTCTTTTCACAATTTAGACCTACTATCAACAGTGTGGCGCATGTGGCGCAGTGGTCGGAGGCGTCCTTGAACACACACGTGGAATCGATCCCCACGCACATGGCCCACCAAGCCTTCCATCCCTCCGGGGTTGGCAAATTGACACCAGACTTGTCTGGGAGGGTAGCAGCACTGGTTCGATCCATCGGTAGGCCACCGCGAGTCATTGTTGAGGCCAGATATGCATTCAATCACCTCCAAACGATGCTAAATGAAGTTGAATGCATTGCGCATCCCTCAGTGATTGATCAATGTTGAGAGCTTTATCCTTTTATTTTATATACAGCATGGAACTGTGCTCTCCATTGTTCTCGAGCGGTCATTCGAGTAATCGCAGGATTTGTTGGTGTCATAGGAATCGCTGTCGTCCTGAAGAAAACCGTGTCGCAAATTTTTCTTCAATAGTCAAAGGCCAACAAGTGCATCGACCAATGTTCAACATGTTAGTGGGAAAGGATAACACAGCCTCAAGTTCTAGGAGAAGCCTCATACCAACCAGACCATGCCAATTTCATCGATGAAAGTTAAAAATCGTCGAAACGAGTGGAACGTTTGCTTCCATGACCTAAATAACATCTGAGGAGAGGTCATCACGTTTCTATGTGAGCACATTCATAAATGAATTTTTTTCGAGTCATATATTTTCAAATCCTTGTTACTTCCCTTCAGAGAGTTGCTGCACTTTCCTACTGATGATTCACTAATGTAAACAAATACAAGTGACGAACTTTGACTCCAGCTGTTTTTAGAGTTCAGAGCGAGCTTGAAAAGCACATGATTCATTGGTGATTACTCACATGAGTAAACAGTTGCGGTGGGATGGGAAAAAATAACGGTTGTTATCACAAAGGGCTGAATATAAATCATTCACAGCATCGCGTGACTGGGGAGAAAAGCCGAGGTCCGACTTTGCAATCTGATTCACACTCCTTCACCTGGTGCTATCCGTGCGAGTTACTTCGACTTCACTCTAAGGCGGAGAGGTTTTCTATGATGTGTAGAATACTGATGAAAAGGAAGACTTCGGTTTAGAGATGTCAGAAACAAAAATTGTTTTTATTCGATGGCTTTGCTTAACATTTCTCTACTTCCACCATTGCCCACTTGCTTGGAGGAGGTGCACCTCTCCTCATTATGTAAATAGTGAATATTCTTGTCCTTTTTAATGTTATATATATTCCTAAATTCCTTATAGCAAGCCTGAATCTAGGAATTGTACAAGGAAGGAAATGTAAATTCACATGCAAATCCTCGTTTATTGAGTTAGCCCTTCGACAGAGAGGAAATTTACCACACAAGCTCGGTAGCCTAAAGAACAACTCATTCCTACATTGAAGAACACCGTTGTGTGGTGTTGGATGAAATCCTGCTTGTTCAGTCCACTTCATGTTCGAAATATGAGCGTTAACGTCGAATAATAACGACAGTACGAATCATATGTAACTGGTAAAGAATAAGTCTAAGTTCCCAGGATCGACTTTCTATTAACCTCGGCATTGGAATATGAAAGTGTCGTTTTCTTGTTCAGCAATCGCGAGGTTGTTAAACACCATATATTTACTTCTATGGAAAAACACAATACAACACAATAGTAGCTAACGTTTCGGCAGTATCGCCTTCTTCAGAGTTTGGAAGGGTATACTGATAGACAATTTACTAGGCCAAACCCTTCAATAACACTTACAAAAAGGCGAAAAACTCCATGGCAATTACGTGATCAACAGTTTCTCGAAAAACTCACCGTTTTGACTTCCAATGAGGAAGATTAGAACAGCTGATTATAGTTGCATATGATTGATGACTGCACCACCCCTCATCAGAAGCTGACGGGAAGATACGGGGCCAGGTCGCGTGTGACCTCTGGGCATCCCTCCCTGCTGTTCATTGCAGGGCTTTTGGCATTTATCTAAAAAGTCTCAAGGAGATTTCGCACTGGTGTTTTAGTCTCTTGTGTAAGGATAATGGCTATTCTTCAAAATCGCCTCCGCTATGCTTTTGTATCCAACACGTGCCTAGTGGCGTTCCATTGCACAACTTTACTCGACAAGTAATTGCGGAATTCATGCTGTTTTTCAACAATCTTTAACGAATTTCGTTATCTACTGAGCATGGAGATAGGTGTTGACCTGAAATTCCTAAAAATCTGCTCACCACCACACCCTCGATGAGCGTCACATCATTCCTGTACTGCCTTCGTGAATAACTCTGACTTAGCCGTCGGTGATGTTCCTGGTGTGTGCTTGATATTCCGAGCAACCGATCG